AATAAATTTACCCCTTTTAATCTTAAGGGCCTGTATGATTCCTTTACTAATGGTGCTTTTAGATCACTTTTTAAACTTGCTCCATAATAGAGAACCCCTGAATGGTTTTACACTTTTTGGTTTGTTCACACCAAGTTGTACCAGTTCTTTTTTTTATTGTACTGGTCCTGCCATTCATACTGGGTTGCTTGTGTCATACTGATCCAAAGGAAATGCTAATTCCCATTCTGCATATTTAATTGTTTATAACAATACTATGTAGGTTTCTTACACTTAATATGAAAATATTCCGGTCTGCATGAGCAGGCGTGACAATGTATATACATGTAATTCTTAATTCAAAGACACAGTATAGGTGGGTAAAGGATACCAGTAAAAAAAGATGGTAGACAAAAGAGGCCATTGATCCAAGGGTAGCATTGTTTTTTATTTCCATTTTCAGTCTCTACTTGACAATCAGTCTCTTGTTCTGTATACAAAGAACTTGCTTGATCCCATCTAACAGTCACTTTGCCAAGACCGTCTGCTATATTCCAGATTCTAAACTAATGTTCATATTCCACAACTCTCGACGGTATACTGCAACGTTTTATGTTTGTGAAGCAGAATTTTTTTTCTTATTTTTCTTTTGGCGTGGGTGTCAGCTTGGAGGCCCTGATAATGTAGCAGAAATGACTGGAAGGAGAGGTATGCTTGTGAGGGCATCTGGTGGAAAAGGTGTTACCTATCAGGCACGGAACACGTAAGTTATGGTATTTTTTCACTCTCTTACTTATTTGAACTAAGTTTAAACTGGCTAAACTGTATTTCGGTTTAGGAAGGAAATTTCCATGGAGATGGTAAACATGCATGAGAAGCAGCTTTTCATGGAAGGCAAGAAGTTGGTTGCCATCATTTCTGAAGCTGGATCTGCTGGCGTGTCTTTGCAGGCAGATAGAAGAGCTACAAATCAGGTATGCCTATATTTTATAGAGCTTATCTTCTGAACAGTTGCTCCCCTCATTCCTTGCATTCTAATTTAACAACAGAGACGAAGGGTGCATCTTACTCTGGAACTTCCTTGGAGTGCTGATCGAGCGATTCAACAGTTTGGAAGAACTCACCGGTCAAATCAAGCCTCTGCTCCTGAATACAGGTAGATAGACACTACATGTATACATTGTTTCTTTTATTTGGGTCACCGGTGTTATGCTGGTAGGCTGGTAGCTATATTAGTCTTGACTTGTTTCTTCTTACTTATAGAAGCAAGGGCTTGTCCACTGTGCCAGTACACTTTGGTCTATCAGATCCAGATATCCTTCATTAGTTTTTTAGTGAAACCAAATATCCTTACTTAGTGAATCCTCAAGCTGATATAAGAGTGGTTTTGGTTGAATCTATGGTCAAACCAACTCAAGGGGTGGCTTTACGACCAGATGAGTTTTGTCTCTTGGGAGTCAATAAAATTAAGATTACATGATAAAATTTTCTATTTATTCATTTATCGTTTTCTGATCAGTATGATTACTAATTAGTTATTTAATGAATGCGATTATGGATACGAGGATCATGCATGGTTGGTTGTTTTTTCAAGTTGATGTGGTTTACTCCATTATTTCTTTTGCAGGCTTCTCTTTACTAATCTTGGTGGAGAGCGTCGATTTGCATCCATTGTAGCAAAGAGATTAGAATCTCTAGGAGCACTAACACAGGGTGACCGCAGGTTACTTGAATTTCATCTATATGTACATTTGGTAGTTGTTACTATTGTGGTATAAGAATATGTGTTGTAATTTTATCCTCCATCCTGTGAGTGATTTGCTTATCTCATTATTTGGTCTGATGTATTGCAGGGCAGGGCCATCATTGAGTGCCTATAACTATGATAGTGCTTATGGAAAGAAGGCCCTGATGTTGATGTATAGAGGAATCATGGAGCAGGTTTGTATGAACTTCTTCTGAAAAATAATATCGCTCCATAATTTATTAACAAGTCAAAATTAAATTGTGATGGAAAATTAACTAGAATTCTATTTTCAGGATTCTCTGCCTGTTGTACCGCCAGGATGTTCATCAGAAAAACCGGAAACAATCCAAGATTTTATTGAGAGGGCTAAAGCTGCTCTTGTTTTAGTAGGAATAATTAGGGATGGTAATAATTTTTGAGCTATTGCGGCGTGTATTATACTTTGTTTGTGCAGTTAATTGATTTAAAAATTTTGTTTTACGTGATAGAATGTCACAGAGAATTTTCTTTTAACTATATTTTATTTTCTTGATGGTGACTTCTACTTCTTATGATGTAGCTCATGGGAAAGATCATGGCAGGCTCACTGGCCGTATAATTGAATCAGATATGCATGATGTTGGACGTTTCCTCAATCGGATTTTAGGAGTACCGCCCGATATACAGAATAGGTCTGTGATTGACATTCCAATTAAAATATAGTTTCCTTATAGCAGTTAGAGCAGGGTTTCATATGCTGACATCATTTCAATACACAGGCTGTTTGAGTGTTTCGTTAGCATTTTGGATCTTATTGTCCATAATGCACGCATTGAAGGGAATCTTGACTCTGGGATTGTTGATATGAAAGCCAATGTTATAGAGCTTCAAGGAACTCCAAAGGTCAAGCTTTGCTTAATTAATTAATTGTTGCTTGTTTGCTTTAGATATTATATTTATATTGACTTCCAATTTCTTGCAGACTGTGTATGTTGATCAAATGTCTGGAGCATCGACGGTGCTTTTTACATTTACCCTGGATCGTGGGGTTACGTGGGAGGTACCTTTGTTTTTCAAGTGACTAGTTGAGTGGTGGCTTATCACTATGTCAATTCACCATACTAAACTATGTTTATCCTTGGTAGTCTGCGAGTGCCATGCTTGAAGAGAAACAAAAGGATGGACTTGGTTCTGCCAATGATGGGTTCTATGAATCTAGGAGGGAATGGTTGGGGAGACGTCATGTCATATTAGCCTTTGAGAGGTCTGCATCTGAAGTTTATTATGCGTATTTTTTGGTTTCAAACTTGGATTGTTCCACCCATATTTGATTGAGTGAAATATATATATATATATATATATATATATATACATGTTTTATTACTTTTTTCCCTTTTGAGCTTGTCTTCATCATTATTATAATGTACCTTCCCTTCATAGTTCTTGTACTTCAATTAGTGAATCTTGCTGTTTCGTTTTCTAGTTTCATTGTTTTACCCTAAATATGTTTCAGTTCTACTTCTGGATTGTATAAGATAGTCCGTCCTGCAGTTGGAGAGTCAGTGAGGTACCAAATTTATGCTTTATGTGCTTCATTCATCTTGTTCTAAAAGACATATATTTCACTTTCACCTACTACTTTTCCCCTATCCAGAGAAATGCCTCTGTCAGAGCTAAAAAGCAAATACAGAAAAACATCAACGGTGGATAAGGCTCGCAGTGGTTGGGAAGATGAATATGAAGTTTCGTCCAAACAGGTGTAGATACTTGATGAACTTAATTCAAAATGGCTGTATTATTTTTGGTGCAAATAGTTCTGTACTGTTATTAATTAACTTTGTTGCTGTTTTCTATAACGTGATGGTGAAAATCTGTATTTTGTATGCATTCAAATCAACTATTGATCAATCAAGAATGTTAAAAAAAGGCACCGATTATATCAAATCGTCATGTATATTATGCTTACCTTAATGGTCAATTTAACCTTTAAAAAACATACAAAGCACGTCTGACTCATTATTTCTTTCATGAAGACTTGGATATTGTTTCCGTATCAGATAACAACTCATATCTGCTAGTTATGTATTTAGCAGCTCACATTCCAAACCGATTAGTTGAAAATTTCCTAGCTGTTTATACATATCGTTTGCTGATTGTAATAATCTTGTGACTTCACCTTTACTTTGCAGTGCATGCACGGACGCAATTGTAAGCTTGGCAACTTCTGTACTGTTGGCAGAAGACTGCAGGAAGTAAATGTATTAGGTGGCCTCATTCTTCCTGTCTGGGGCACTATTGAGAAGGCTCTTTCGAAGCAGGTAACTTGTTTTGATCTGCTAGTTAATTTGACTTGGTGATCTCAGTGATGTAAATTGAATAAAGTACAGACTGCATCTCTTAAAGTTTGCACTGAATTTTTCCCGAATAGCTTATATTTAGTGAAAGTACAAATAAGCATTTCTAACTACCGATAACTCCTGTGACAATTTCTACAGCAACGGCAAAGCCACAAGCGGCTACGTGTTGTGCGTATAGAAACCACGACGGATAACCGCAGAATCGTTGGTCTATCAGTCCCAAATGCAGCAGTGGAATCCGTACTTCAAGGTCTCTCCATTTCTCTTGTTAATTTCTTTTTTTCCTCTGCTTAGTGCCCTTGACCAGTAAGAAATTTCAACGACGCTCCAATTCAAACTCTTTTAACGATGAGCATTTACTAAGACAATTTCTCATGCAAGAAAAACTCGTCAATGACTAGCGATATGAACTCATTCGTTCCCTTAGAAGTTCATTTGACAGAGGCTTCTCTGATTATGTTACAGATTTTGCATGGGTTCAAGAAATCGACGATTGAGATGATGCGGTAGAGTCTGGTTGTAAATTTTGCTGAGTTGCTCCTCTATGCCGTGATAATCTTGGAATAGTTCCAAGACGAAGGCAGAAGCCGAATACCCAAGAAATAGAAAAACGAAGATAATTTTTCTGCACACTGTAACGGAACCGTGCAGTCGTTGATTTTGATTGTATTTGTTCCTCAACCTCCATTGCTCTTTTTTTTTTTTTTTGCCTTATTTATTTTGTACATCGCCGATGACGTTTTACGGCATTGGAGGTTAGAGTAGTAGGCCGTCTTTGGTCATTAGTTTTGCCAGAATCAATTTGTATCACTACCATACAGTTATTCAAATGGTAGAGGAAATAGAAATTCCCTTTTTTGTTCAATACAATTTATGACATGCAAATATTGCTTAGATGAAATAGAAAAACTGTCAAAAAAAAAAAAAACCAGAATAAATTCATTAAAAATCAAGTGGATAAAATGGAAAATCCAATAAAACCTGCGAAAATATCAGAGTGACTTGCATGTAATTGGTTCCTCGTCACTGTGGCATCTCAATTTTATAATGCATTGCTAGGTACAAGTTTTCTCCATGTGGCAGCAATGCAAATATTAGACTGAGATGTCACAGAACGGTGAACCATAATTCTATGCAAGTCTTATCCACATGCACAGCACAAAGTAACCCACTCATAGTTACTTATCACAATAGCTATACATATTGCACAGCACAAAGTACCTCAATCATATATATATATATATATATATATAGACACACACACACACACACACGCTTTCAGATCAGCAAACGAAAGGAGCATCGACGTGATGGTCATGGCAATAGAGGCCAGGTCGCTGAGCGAAACCCTGTCTCTTCAGAGTCTCCCTCGCCTTAAGAACAAGCTACTTGGTTAGAAATTTCACCGTCTTGCTCTGAGAGTATCTTCTGAATTGCATTACTAAGAGCTCCATAAGATTCAGCTGCATTTCCTGGAGGAGTGGCATCTGCAGACGTTTGGTCTGTCTGGCAACCGCTTATGAGAATCCCGCCATCAGGAAAGCCGCGATGATTTGCTCCGGCATAAACCTCTTCCTTGCTGCCCACTTCCGTCTCTAAGGCAGGCTTTGCGTACTCATCGTTGTCTTGAAGCTTTTGTTCAAGAAACCCTTGAGCCAAGCTTCCAATCTTCCCCAGTAACCCACTACCTCCACCCTCGTGGCTTTGGAGTTTATTTATGATCACCTTCATGAACTTCTTCACCTTAGGGCTGGCATCCTCTCCGAAAACATCGAAAAGTGTTGGCCTCAGCTGCCCAACATCAATGTCGTCCTTACCTGTTTTCTGCTTGAGTATCTCTATGAGAGTAGAGAGTGGTAGAGACTTGGCTTTGACATAGACCCTGTCCCCATCTTCAGTTTCGATCTCTCTGTCTTCCGTCTCTTCTTCTTCTTCTTCATTATGTCGACCGCGGCGCAATGCAGATGGCATGTGGATCCCACGAGACTCCAGTGCATCTCCCGCCCTGTCCTTGAGAAAGTTCTTGAATCCACCAAAACTGCCACTGCCGGAGCCGGACTTGTGCTCACGCTCTTGCCCCTTGGTGCTCTCTCCTATCTGTTCTATCGCTTCATCAATGAGCCCACCGCTGTGGCACGAATCTGATACAATTGTCAGCCTGCAACCTGCTGGCAGCTGGTCTACAAACCCCCTGAAGTCATCATCTGTTACAAGTACCGTCCAAAAACAGTTGTAATATCAACCCGAAAACAAACAAAGCAATCTTATACAAATATGACCATATCATATTAACACATTTTTGAAACACAACACTCCGCTTATGTTTACGGAGTAAGATTCTCTCCCTCCTAATCTCCCTCCCCTCCCCACGTCAATATCTTTCAAGAGAAAGAAAGACAAAAGAGGAAAGTGTGAGAGAAGGGAGAGAGAAGGGGGCGAGGAAAATAGGAGGGGTGAGAATCTACTCCTATATTTTCGGTGTTCAGCATTCCATATTTAGGAAAGGGATCCTCTCCTGATGCCTTCCTCCTAGTCCACCAAATTAGAGAATCTGTACTGCTGAAATTTGATCCAACGGTTACAAACAAGGGCCCACTTTAAAAGATATAATAACTGCGGCCGTTTGATCAAATTTCAACTGCACGAATCCCTCATTTGGTGGATTAGGAGGAAGGGAGAGAGATCCATTTCCCCATATTTATATTAGAGAGAACACTAGATAGAAATGACTTAACTTTATGCTTACACGCAATGTAAAAGCAGAAAAGCGGATCAAGAACTAAAAGACTATATATCCAGAATTCCAACCAAACGGATTCAGTTGATCCAAATTTTCTTGGATCATCAAGCAAGATCTCAACTTTTTCTAAAATATGATCAAATTCAATTTATAATCCACCGATTTTGTTCACCAGAGATTAAAACAAAGGAAATTGGCTGAAATGATCACTTTACAAATCCTTTTGAGCATTTGATGGATATATCGTCAATGCTTGATTGATATGCCCGTCAATGTTTGATCAATATGTCGTCGATCTATAATTTTGATCAGTTCAGCAATTGAAATTCGCAAAACGATCATTTCCATCAATTTTCCAAACAGATCAAAGCAATCGTGACAACAATAACTCCAATGAAACCCAAAGCTCAAAAATCAAAATTGAGCAGAAAAGATAAGAGAAACGGAGTCAAACCAGTGATGAGGTTCATGTCAGTGGGGACGACGCACTCATCGTATCCCGTATCATCATCATCGCCGGTCTCGGCGGGAAGGCGGGTCCCATGGCCGCTGTAGTGGACAAAGAGGACGTCGCCGGAGTCGGCGGATCGGATGAGGTTGGTGATGGCCCGGCGGATGTTTTTTCCGGTGGGCTGAGTGTAGGAGTCGTCGGTGTCGATCAGGACTTGGATGTCGTCCTCGGAGAAGCCGTAGCGGTCGACGAGGCAGCTGTACATTCGCTTGACGTCGTTTATGCAGCCTTTGAGCTCCGCCTTTGTTCCTGGGTAGTTGCATCCTATCAGCACCGCCTTCCTCGCCATTTTCTCCAAATTCCGATCACTCTCACTCTCTGTTTTCTTGCTATTTGTTGATTTGTTTGGATTGCCTTACGACAATAATTGACTTAAAAATAGTTTTTTTTTTTTTTTTGGAATTAAAATAAATTTTAATAATACAAATCTTAGTTTTTTTTTTCTTTTTTTTAATTGGGTTTTGGGTGGCTGTCGGCAAAGAAGAAAGTGAATGATGACGTGGATAGTTGGATGCACGTATTGGCTTTTTATACTTTCCAAGTCTGAGATATCTCCGAAAAGTAAGATTTATTTACAGTAGAGTCTAAAATAGTTAAAAAGTATTTAAGCGAATTTCTGATTATAGTCGAACAACATATGTTCTTTCAAATTTTTACTCAAAGAATTATCAGCTTCACGTATTGATTTTAATTGCATTACCATTTTATGTGTGATAAGTTTGCCATGTTGGTACAATATCTTTCCATATTAAGTAATGTTATTCATACTATGTTTTTATATCATATTTCCATATCATCTTAAGTGACATCTGATGTGCACAGCCATATCATTTGAAAATTTTCTAAAAACCAAAGAAAAAAAAAGAAGAAAGACTCCTCGTATACCATAATCATAATTTAATTATCTAGTTTTTTTATAATTATTAGTTTATTAAATAATGAACTAAATTTAAAAATCTGATTAATTTAAATGATGTGACTGTCCATATCAAATATCACTTAAGATGATATGAAAATGTGGTACAAAAATATAGTTTGAATAACATTACTCTTCCATATTAGCACAAATTTCTAGCCTTTAATTTTAAAGAAAAATTGTCTAGCTTTTATCAAGTCTTTTATAAACTTTCCCACACAATATGAGCAAAAGCAACAACATGACCAGACTCACAAATTTATAGTATATTATCATTCAGTGTACAATATCGCACCATGTAAAGTTACGTTACGAAAAAATCATGCTAATTGGTTAAGAACATATACTGATATTGTATGTTCAAGAACATTAATCTCCTCTTTTTGTTTTAATTTTATCACTTTTGTTTGTGCTTTTCTTTTGAAATCTATGTCAGAAATAACACTTATGATCATAACTTATATAAATATATTGTAAATTTATTATAATACAATAAAATCATCAGAAACACAAATCCAAGCTCAAACTTATTAAAATGCAATTAGATTCTCAAACCGGTAAAATGGAAAATTAGAGAAAACATAATCATGTCCTCGACATTATTTTTTAGCGTTGACAAAATTGCAGTTCACTCGGATTTCTCCTTCATTGCTTCTTGTTAGAACTTGCACATTTCCAAGCTTCACCATTGACACCGAAAACTGGCTTTCGAAAAGACCCGGCTGGGACGCCAATGCAGCAACAAAAGGACCGGTTCTCTCGTCCGAATTGAGCAGCTGATCAGTTGACAGCAATCCCAACTTCTTGTGAAGATTCGAGTAGTACATTGTATCGAATGTCTTCGGAGTTATGGCGTCGAGATAAACCAAGTCCAAGTCGTTTTTGCATTTCTTCTTCAAGAAATTATTTAAGTACATCGAGTTAAGCGAAGGGTCAGGCTTTCTTGTTCCATTGAAATTTGAGAGCCTGTGCTTGAAGGCGTAGCAAGAACTTCTGCCAATGGTGTGTGCCCCGGAGAGGGTGACCAAATCAAGCATGTTCAAGCCACGCGCTTGGAAAAAATCGATCAATTGAGTGATGTTCTCGTATCCCTGAGGAACACTGTCAGCTTCCTTGAGGATTGAAAATTTACCATCTTTGCGCCCAAAGGGAACTTCCCAAAATGGACCTCCAGCTATGATTGTGGCATCTCTAGTTGCAGCGGTGAGAATGTCAGCACATGAGACGGTTTTAGGACACTGCCTCTCAAGCTTAGCCTTGATATCGTCGATTACTTCAAAACCTCTAAGTGTCCTGCTAGCAAATGCCCTCCTCTCGCTGTCTCGATGGTTAAGCAGAATCGATGCGTCGCAGCCCTGCAGTGCAATGTTCATTTACGATCATATAATACATGTCATTTACTGATATCCTAAGCCTTTGTTCTATTAACCGCAAGTAAAGTTAACGTGAATGCATGCTTACTCTCACAACACAGTCGTGGAAATGCAAGCGAATGATGCTAGCAGCCAAAGTGAAATCCTTTTGAGTCCAATCTCCGACTTTCTGCTGAATGATTCCCTCAGCTTGCGGGCATGTTTTAACATAGTGATCAAAAGACAGAAGATCCTCAGCACGAACAGCTTTGGCCCGAGGCTTTTTTACGTTGAGAGCTGCCGTTATAGGTAACTTAGTCACCGAAACAACATCGATCACGAACAGCTCCAACAGAACAAGAACAACAGACAGTGTAGAAATACACAACTTCATGTCTAAGAAAACTTGTTTTTGGTAGTCGGTATTATTGTGTACGCTTAGTTTTAACCTTGACCACCCATGATTTTATATAAAGCTCTAGAGATTGAGTTGATATGTTTGTGGGGTTTCGAAAATACGTGAGAAGCACTATTGAGTCTTAACACACAAAAAGTAACATGCAAACATGTAGCTTTTGTAAGTCTCATTTTTTTTATTTTTTTGTAAAGATTAAGACTGCTTTTAATTGAGGTCATTCCACTAGGGGAAGGTCCTACTGGAGAATAACCCACCCCAGAGATACTGAAACCTCCAGCACAAACTACACCTGGATCCCAAATTAATTAGTGTATAATATATATATATATGTATATATATATATTAGCTCTTCAAGATTTCTGAGTCTTCAACATTTGTATATATTTATTTGAACTTTCACAAAAACGTCATATATTAAAGTTTCTCAACCTCAAAAACAATTAGGGGGCTGAGTAATCAAGCATTTTGATATCCGTCCAAAACGCATATTTCCCCTTTATCCTCTTAAAAAAAAAAAGGAATAGGGAACCATCGGTATGGAACTACCGATCTTCATGAGAGAGAGTCGGAGTTTTGTTACCGGTTCTCCCCATAAAAGTCGGTAGTGCCTTACTGATCCATCCGTTTTGGAGTCGTCTGGTATTTGGTTTTTGCTTTGTTTGTTTGTTTTTATTTCCCTTGTCATAACACCAAATTATCGTCTTCATAATTGCATATTGTCATTGAGAACTTTTAGTTATTAATTATTTCCAAAAGAAATAAAAATAATGAAGCTTATTTCAATACATATGATATTATCTACCCTACGGGATGAAGAAGTTAGATAAGCTTAACAGTGGGTTAGCCATAATAATTTGGTTCAAATTCGTCTTTGTCAAGAATTAAACATATAACCACTCATTTACAAATAAAAAGAAAATACCACTGAAGCATATACTAAGTGGCTTAAATTTTGAATCATCTCTCAATTTATGCGTATCATCCTTGCACAAAGGATATGGTAATCATCTCCGTATCGTTCCAATTATTAAATGAAGCTTTTTCTGTTTTTTTTAGTTTCTATAAGGCCAACTCCAACCTATGGCCTAAAACCTATAATTTCCCTTCTATTCCCCCCAATCCATTCCAACTCAAGTTCTAATTTGGGCCGCAAACCTAAAACCTAAAAAAAAGCCAAAAAACGACCATGATTTAGCTTAGAAAATGGTGTGAGCCCCACTAGCGCAAGTGAAACTCAGTGCTTGAGCGCCAGACGACCCCAAGAGACGTGCACACACAGGCGACATGCCAAGGCAGAGACTAGCATGGGCACACCCACGTGGTCATGTCAGCCACTTACGCCAGAGAGCCAATGGCTGAGATCAACATGCCGTTAGTTCAACCAATGACCTACATTCAATTTTTTTTTGTTTTATATTTATATATTTATTGAATCCAACCGCTGAGATCAAATAGAATAAAATTTAACATAAAAGAAAAGGATCTAATAGCCCAAATTTAAATCCAATGGCTAGAATAATTAAAAAAATTATTTAACTCAAAATTCACCCAAAAAGTCTATAAATATCTTTGTATTTGTTCAAACATCCACACAAAACTCACTTTTCTCCTACAATTCTTCCAATTTTTCTTTCTACCATTTCTTCCCATTTCCAAATTTTTCAAGATGGCAAAAAAGCATATTAGAGGTCGTAATTGGATCTTTGAGGAAGATGTTGCTTTATACTTGGCATGAGTTTCTATTAGTGAAGATGGTGTTGTTGGCACGAATCAAAATAAAAAGGTTTTATGGGGTAAAATCGTTGATAAATTCAATGAAAACTCCAATGCCGGCCAAAGGGATGGTGGTGATGTTTACGATCGGTGGAAGGTTATCAACAAAGCGTGCAATTTATGGAAGGAAGTTTGGAGAGAGCCGTGGTTGACATGGCTAGTGGAAGGAGTGCCACAGAAGTTGTGAGTTTCTTTGTTGATATTTTATTTGTCATGTACATAATATTATTTTTGCAACTAATTGTTTTTATGTATTTCTTGCATAGGGTGACAAAGTAATAGCAATTTACAAGACAAGAACTACACCAAAAAATCAAGCTTTTAAGTTGTATCATGCTTGGAACGTCCTCAAGGATTGTCTGAGGTGGGGAACCTATGTGGACCAACAATGGGAAAGATTATTTCATACTAAAGCCGCACAGACAAATGATGTCAATGAAGGTGTGATTCGTTGACTCCAACTTTTTCTTTTACAAGGCCCCCAGGAAGAGATAAGCAAAAGGAAGCAAAGAGAAATGGGAAGTTCCAAGATCTGATTAGTGCACAAATTGCTACCGGATTTGCAAGATTGACTGAAAGCCGTAACAATTTTATGATGGAAGACCTCAACAAATACACTCCAAAGAGGAAGAAGTTCTTCCTTGATAAGCAAAATGAAATTTTGTGAAGGCATGCCACAAGGAGTATATTTCAAGATGATGATTCATCTCAAGGCTATATCTCAAGTCCACCACCAAGTCAAGATGGTGGATATCATTATTAAGTTTATGTAGTTTATGAATTATCGATTGTATTAAGTTTATGTGGTTTATGAATTGTCATTTGTATTAAGTTTCATTTATTGATTTAGTGATTTTTCAATATTTATCGAAATTTAAATATTTTTAGTTTAAAATGTTCATAAAATTAATTTAAGATAGTCTCCATAATATTTTTTAAATTAATTTAAAAAAAAAAAGAAGAAGCCTAAATTTATTCTTTAATAATCCAGGACTGAAATTTTAGGCCAGAAGGGTTATAACAGAAAAGCTGTTTCTAGTTTAAAATCTAAATTTTATAGGTTAAAAATTTTAGATTTTAGACCAAGAGTTAAAAGATGGTAAGGGGATATTCTAGGATTTGGGTTTCTTTATGGGATGCTGCTCGAAAGCAGCTAATTTTTTGTTATATTAAGTGGGTCCCAAAGATCTTTAGCCTATTTTTTTCTTACTTTTAAGAATTTTAATCGCTCAAGGCATCTCAAGAGGAGTTGGAGCATTGCTTGATGCGTTTTGAGAACGCTCATAAACTACTTAGAGACCTCAAGAGGTTCAAGCATTCCTCAAGGCGTGTTGAGGGTGGTCGTAAACTCCTTAAGGAGGTCTTGAGTGATTATATTTCAAAATTCTGAAAAGTGATCACGGATTGCTAAGCAAAAAATGTGGAACCTTTAGTAACAAGCCCTAAGCCCATCTCGAATGGTTTGACCATATTTTGCAATGACTCTAATATACTAAAAATATAGTCTTTTAAGGAGTAGTGCAAATATAATTTTCCATCTCCAATAATGCAGGAGTTAATTTTATTACTCTCAATACTTTATTACTTTTTAACATATTAAAAAATATTATGGCCACACTTACACATCAACTACTTTGTTTTATTTAAATTAATTATAAACCATTATTTGCTTCTCTTTTTTCTTTTTTTTTTTTTTTGTTTGAAACGGGCCGAATGTAGCAAGCCTTCGATGATTTGGCCCTAAATTTTTTTGGGTACATTTTCTAGCACCCAATTAAGGATGAGTTCTGAGAATAAAAAAGGCTAAAGTGGGGACATGTGGCCCAGACTTAATTGAGGTTGATATCAGACTCACTCCAATGGAATTAAAATCACAATGTTGCAAAAGTCACACCTTAAAATTAAATCTGCACTTAAACGTGAAATCAACTGGCCTTCACAAGTATTATTAATTAACACATACAGCCCCATCACCACACAAATTCACACCATACAAATTAATCATAAACAAAAACATTCTCCAAACGAAAAAGCAAATTAATCACACAAATTATGTTCTCTAATTAAGCTTTGCAGCACACGAAACGTCCAAGTCCTTTGGGAGCATGTCCTTCATCATCCCCAGAGATCTCAACCTTCTTAAGCTTGTGTTTCTTCTTCAAGTCCTCCTTAGGCACTGTAATTACCAACACCCCGTCGCGCATTGAAGCCTTAATCTCATCAACCTTGACATTTTCAGGCAACCTGAAATTCCTCGAGAAGCTGCCACTTTCCCTCTCCCTGCAGTGCCACGTCTCGTTCTTGGGGTCCTCCATTTCGGGCTCCGCTTTTCTCTCTGCACTAACATGAAGCACTTGGTTTTCTTGCAGCTCAAGCTTCACGTCCTCTTTTGTAAGGCCTGGAAGATCTATTTCAAAGATGTGTGCATTTGAAGTCTCCTTCCAGTCCATGTACGTGTTGTTTTGGTTGGATATTTCCGAGTCGAAAACCTTGAAAGGAGCAAAGTTGGGTTGGTCCAAGAGAGATTGTAATAAATGGGACATTTTTAGAGATTTGGGGTTATTTTGTTTTGTTTTTGTGGTTTGGTTTGGGGTTGGGATGAATAAAGCTATTAATTTGCGTTCTTGTTTTAGTTATAGGACTGGTGGTTTTGCAGATTTTTCCAAGTGATGGTTTTGGTGAATTGTTTGATGAGTATTTATATCTGAAGGGAAGAGGAGACGGTAAGTTTCTTGAAGGTTCTGGAGTTGGACGGTGTTTGGCTTCTCCTAGAGAATTTGATGTCATTGATTTTGATGCTTGACTTTGTTGGGTCCATTTCATTAAGTGCTTTTTGAGCAAACAGATAAGCATGGAAGTCAATCTTGGAGAACTCTCTGGGAGAACCTGGAAATGGTTTCTAGAAGTTTTCAAGCCCCAATTGATACTTCTCTATAAAGCATTTCTGCTTATAAACGGTTTTCTTTCGGAAGCACATTGAATTTTTTTAATAAAAATCTTATAAAATATTATACAATCTATAAGCATTATAAACTTCTTATGCCTAAACATTATCAAAAGCACTTTTGATTATCTAAATCAAAAAGCACTATATGAAATTTGTGTAAGAGTCAAGTGCGAGAATGAATATTTTTAGTCACTTCAAGATATCAGTTAGTCTTTAATTACAACCCCAATGAGAATTGGTCACTTTAACAAATAAGTTAGGCCTTTAATGACAACAAAAAATGGTCACTTCAACAAATAAGCTAGCCTTTAATTACAACGAAAAATGGTTCACATGTGTAAGAAATTAATTTAACGCTGATATTGGTTCAAACTTAATCATATATTCAACATTTTGGATGACTTTGGCCGTAACAAACTCATTAATATGTGAAGTTTTTCTAAACAACCTAGGCGTGGGCGCTATTAGTACTTAACACCAACTTCTAACTTGTAGATTATTGTGGTATTTTTGAAGAAGAGATTATGTCCATCCACAGTAGCAGCTTGTACCGAGCCACACAACCCTTAGTCTCCGACACGCTTATGAATCTTCATGATTTTACAACCAGATCGAAGATGGTCATCCTCTCAAATGTGTATGGGCTTAGTAGTTTCTTAAGGCCTCCACATCTGACCTAATTAAGATCAGCCCATGCACAGCCTTAAGAAAAAAGTAGGCCTCCACATCTGACCTTATTTTGATCAGCCCATGCACAGCCTTAATAAAAAGAGTTCAGATTCAAAACATTATTCAGGGTTTGAAAACAAAACGCTCACTATTTAGGGGTATGTGTGGAGAAATTTTTAGTTGCGACCGAAACACAAGTGATACATCACGTGTTTTAATAGGAATTAATGAAAATTTTATTTTTTAAGTTATTAACTTTTTAACACACATATCCCATCATTTGTTTAGTGATATATGGTGTACCTCTCCGTGTACCGGTCACATTGAAAAATCTCTCTCATGTGTGGGATTTTTCTGCAGAGTTCCCAACCTAGCCAATAATATTCGATAAAAATGACCAATTTATTCTATTTAATTCCTAAATCATGACTTCAGTAGTTCAGACCAAAACGAAATGGAAAGTCCTAAACCATAATCAGAAACGCGTATAATACATGAAAAAAACAAAATGGTACTCGAAAAATTCCTAATCATGCTTACAATGCACGTTAATCTTTTGAATTAGTACATACTCATCATCTCTCTCCAATAATGCCGATGTATAATTGTAACAAAAATAAAAACAAAATGTACCAAATATAATGTGTGTCACGTA